GGCGCGGGGGGAAGGAGGGGTGCTGCCCCCGGCCTGCCCTGCCCTGCGCGGCCCTGGGGGAGAGCTGGTGTTTGGGAGCGTGGGACAACCTGGGCTTTTGCTTGGTTTAATAAAAAGAGGTCCCGGTGCACCACAGAAGAATCTGGTAAGCGGGGCCCTGAGAGGATATAAAACTTGGAGGTTAATAAAGTTACAGTTCGAGGTCCACACTGCTTGCCTCCTTTTTTTTTTTTAGAAGCCAACTCGATCGAGGTGCACTGCTCAGGGCCAGAAGCCCTGCAGTACGAGATATACGGAGGTCAGAAGGTAAAAGAAAATGGGGGAAACTTGTCCCCAGGAGCAATTGAGTGGGAACTGGCCGTGTTCCACTAGATGGGTTGAAAAGGGAGGTAAGCAACTAAACACTCCTCTGGGGTAAAGCCACGTTTTAGATAACTGACCATCTGAACGTGTGCAGTCTCATTTCTTGCTGCTCTGCCGAAAGCCCTCCCAGCAGTGGATCTCCGGGGGCTTTGTCTCCTCGCTGCCAGCCTGTAATGTTTCTGTTACAGAGGAACGATGTGCCGGTTCCCTCAGGATGCTTTCTGTTGGGGATTGATCTATTTTTGTAGAGAGCCTGGGGCAGACCCATGAACCTGCACCGCAATGAATGACTTGTTCATTGTGCAGTCCTGTAGGCAAAAACAATCCGTGCCTGAGAAGCAGGACCGTAGTGTTAATGTGGCACCATGCCCAGCCAATCTTGAGTTTTGGAAAGCTTCCCTAGGCTATGGCACTACCCTGGACTAGAGCTAGGACCAGAAAATCCCTTTCCTTCCCAGAGCTTACACAGCAGCATGCTTGGGGTACCAGCACCTCTTGAATTTGGGCTTGAGATATGCAACTGTTGGTGCAGTTCCATGCTAGGGCTAAATCTGAAATCCCCTTTAAGTAACGTGCAGGTATCAAAGGAACTGCTGTCCCTGAAATGAGGAGATATGTATAGGAACTGAATACTGAAGACGTGTTTTGTCAATTGCTAGACTGTGGTAAGACTGTGATTCCCTGCTCCGACTGAGCTGTGTTAACAGCTTCTTTGCTGTTTACTGTTCTCACCTCACTACAGGTCGTTTTCTCTCTGTCTTGCACCAACCCTAGTGCTTGGTTGATCATGTAATAAGCCAATTCAGCTTGCTTTCCAGCCCAAACCAATTTGCTTTCTGCTGTTTTAGTGAGTTGAATTGGCTTTGTGCTGCAATCAAATGTGCACTAGAGGAAGGACTTGGCAGAACCACGTGTCCCACAGGGAAGAAACTGGGGGACAGATTGGGGGAGAGAGCTACCTCTCTTGGCAGCAGCAAGTGGTGAATGTAACTGAAGCCTTAAGGTGAAGTTGCAGCTTGAGACACTGCTACCTATCAGTTAGTCGCTATGCCTTCTCAGTTTGGGGCTGTCATCTTGCTAGCAAAGGCAGTCTAACAGCAGGAGTGTTTTACTGCTTCATAGTTCTGTTTGTTTCTAATTCTTACTGTTTCTATTTAAAGGTAGTTTAGGCTAGTTTGGCAGATTTTACCCTGAAGAAGATTAGGATGCCTGCATGAATTCTGTTCTCCTGTCTATATGATAAGCATTTGGGGAATAGATTCTTCACTTGCATCCAGCAGAGGATGTCTGCTCTTGATGGGGGCATGAGGAATTACAGCTCCCTTCAGGTAGGCAGGTTTCATACAGCAGAAGAATCACAAGGAGACATGGCTGGAAACAGACTTTTGAGGGGGTGTGCTGAAATACAAAAGTACCTTGACAGCCAAAGTTTACAGCATAACAAGTAGTTTTGTTAAAGCATTTCTCTTTCTGTGCTGAAAGGGTTAGGATGTGGCTGTTTTGGTTTGATGGAAAACTGAGTGGAACTGAGGGGATATGATTTATGGACTGAGTAAAAGTTAGTGAAGCTGATGGGCAAGGTAAATGTTTAAAAGGTGGTTGAAGTCATTATGGAACCAGGTAGCTGAAACAGCGAGGTCGCAACCAACCCAGAATTACACGGTGAGATCTACATTAAAACTTAACTATGTGACCAAAGGGGTTTTCCCTGGGAACTCATAAAATAAACCCAAGGCATTGAGGTAGTGATTGCTGGAGTTGCCTATATATGACATTAGAACCAGTGGAACAAGCTGCAGAAAATGGTGCTGATTAGGGAGAAACAGCCTGAGGTAACAGTAGGAATGTTTCTCTAAGGAGAAAAAAGTAGAAGGAGCTCACGAAGGGATTGGATATGGTACTGGCTGAATTTGGATGAGAACCATCAAGGAAAAAGATCTCGTCATTTGTTCTTACCTTGTTGCAGATAGAAGGATGCTATGTTGTATGTAAGCAGATGGGTTTCTATCCAAGATATACCTGATTCTGTCATCAGTTTCTGCTTTTAATAGAAATAACCGTTGGGACTGAATTTTGGCTGGCTGCTGAAGTCCAGAGGGACTGATTTGCAGAAAATGAAGTGTGAACCATTTGATTTTTTTTTTTTTTTCCTGATGATTTACTTGAGTAGGTCACGTCTGTGTCCTGGATACTTGCTCCAGTGTAACACAACAAAACAAAAACTAAAAACCGATCTAGGTATAGGGTACAAGGTGCCATAAATAGATCTCCAGGCAGGCAGGGCACCACTGGAGTCTGTTCAGTCTGACAAGAACACTAAGCTGCTGAGATCAGCAGGACTAAAATTAGCTTTGGAACATTTTTTTTCCTACCCTCCTGGTGTTGCTTTTACATGAAATCTGTTGTTTATTGTTATAAACAAAAAGCAAAGAATTTGGGTTGAAGGCTTCCTTTTATTACTTTTTTTTCTTCTTTCTTTTCTTAAAGAGATTTTGAAATCCCTGGTCTTTGGAATGGGATGTTAATTGAGTTTGGGAACTAAGCAATTGGTTATGTGTTGGTCAATTTTTTCTGTCCTAGTGGAAAAAACACATCACAACACCAAATACTGCTTCAGCAAAAGACAAACAATCATGACTGATTTAATATTAATATTGTATCCTTGGTGTGCGTTATTACAAATACTTATTTTTAAAAGCAATGGAAACGGTCCTTAGGCTTCTTTTATTGTTGCCTTTGGTAAGGTGTGAATTGTTTGGTTGGTAGTTGTTTCTTTCCAAGGCCGAGTCCTTCCCAGCATCTTCCGAGCAATTGCCTAGTTCTGATTTAAAGATCTTACAACACAGTTTTCTGAAAAGCAGGATTTTGTCACACTGAATCTGGACACTGGCTGGGGAATAGCCGGCTTCTGGGACACATCCAAAACAGGCCGAAGGCAGTGAGGACGTTTCTACCGAAGTCTTGAATCCTGAAAGACTGTTATCTGTGGGCCCCTTCATATTTATATGAGCTTGAAGTACAGAGCTGTAACACCAGTTTCGGTAATGCTCTGCATCACCACAGCTGTTGCTTCCATGCTGACTTTCCTCAAGTTCTGCTGTTGCTGGCCACCCAAGCTGCATCTGAGACCTTGTCATTCATTTTCTTTTTCTCTGTTCTTAAGCTGAGTTGTAGTAAGCTGAAGCTGTTTTTCCCCCTTCTAAAATGATGAGCAAAACC